ACCCAAAATCCCGAAATTTGAGTCATTTTTCAGGTCACACTGGAGAGGCTCGCTACCCAAATGCCTGGAACGGTGACCCTTCTGTCAGTGGTCCCGAAATTTGAGTCATTTTTCGGGTCACACTGGAAAGGCTCGCTACCCAAATGCCTCGAACGGTGACCCTTCTGTCAGCGGCCTGCGGGGCGGACCCTTTTTGAGACCACCTCCAGAGGTGGTCTCAAATTACCTTTCTTTTTTTTTTTCCTTTTTTTTATGTTTGCAAATTGAAGAGAATTGTAGATGGCGCTGGTCCAGGGGTTGTTTGTGAGGATTCCCAGCATCAATGTTGGATTTTAGGGTCTCGTTAGACACTCCTAAAAGAATCCTAAATTTTTTTGGACGAGTCCTAAAGGATGTTTAGGATTTTTTGCGGCATCGTTACACGCAATCCTAAAAATCATCTTTTAGGATTCGTCCTAAAAGGTCTCCCGCGACCGGTTTTCATATGCATATACGCAGACGCGTCGCCAATGTCCGTCCATTCCTGGCTGGTGTCAGTGGTACACACTGCAGTGGGCCACCGGCGGGTGAGGACGGGTCGGTGAAAAGCGTGGTTAGCCAGAAGTTCGAAAATTCAAATTCAAATTTTTGCGGACGCAGGCTGGAGGACGGCCAGGCGACGCGTGTGACGTAGAAAAGACGGCGCTGGTGAACCCTTCGGCGTGGGTATCCATCTTTCGAGTCTTGCCGAGTTGTGACCAGTTGGCGGATCTTCACCTCCGGCATGCGAACTCTCCTGTGGAAGCGTAGAGCAGGGGGCGCATCTTCGGCTTCGATGTGTGTACTCTCTTGTGGCAGCGTAGAGCAGCGGGCGCATCCTCCACTTCCCGCAACCCAGCCAACGGTCCACTAGGGACGCCCGCCCGCCCCTGTTCGGCCCCTGTTGTCGGAGCGAATACCCTTACAAGGGTATCCGCCCTGGTGTTTGCAAGTGACAGAAATTAAGTCTGGATTAAAAGTTAAGTATACCGCGCGAGGCGGGGCTGCTTTCGTGGTCAAGACTGACAGGATGGTTGACTAGGATAAAGAGTGTGTGGGCGCGCGGACTTGAGGCGCGCGTGATCTTTTTAATTGTTGGTGATTGAGGAGTCGGTGTGATCGCTGGCCATATTTTTCTTCCCTTTCTGATTAGGTTAGGATTAACAACATTTTGTCTCATGATTGGTGTGCTTGCCGTGACTCGTGCGCACGTACGGAGGGCGGCATCAACAACAATGCGACTCGAAAATGTCTCGATAGATCCGCGCGGCGCGTAGTATCCGCTTATATGGTGTCCACCAATACTAGGTTCATCCCTGGACCTAGCACTATTGGTTATGACGTCCGACTTTCATCAAAGAGCTTCAGGGATCGAGATCGAGCGGCGACGACATAGGGATATCAGGGTAGCGCGAAGGGACTGAGGGATTGGTGGTCCGGCGGGGCTACCTCCCTTGGTTTTGCGGTCGACGACACTGGAACGGTATTAGTATTTTCCTTCCCCCGTTCGTCGTATTCTGACGGTTAAAAGTTTAGACATTTTTATTACTTTTGCATCATTGTTATTTTTCTATGCACTGGTGTTCCTTGACTTGGATGCGGTGCTGGGCTTAGAGATCGACATGGCGGTCGAGGACCTTGAGGCTAGAACGGTATTAGCATTTTCCTTCCCCCGTTCGTCGTAATCTGACGGTTAAAAGTTTAGACATTTTTATACTTTTGCATCATTGTTATTTTTCTATGCATTGGTGTTCCTTGACTTGGATGCGGCGCTGGGCTTAAAGATCGACATGGCGGTCGAGGACCTTGAGAGCGCGCGATTTGGTTTAGCCTACGGGTTCCTTCGTATTGGGGATACCGGCGAAAGTCCTCCATTATGCCGTCGTTGAGAATGTGAGCCGGCGAGTTCAGCGCGCATGCGAGCTGATGGGTGATTAGCCCACGACCGGAGGGAACGTGAGTGGCGGGGCTTTTGCGAGAGCACCATCCGTTCCCCGCAGCCCACGGAGGAAGGGTTGGGTGTGAGTATGCTCACGGCACTCCCCTCCACTCCGTTCTTTTCAAAGTCCTTATTTGAATATCTGTTATTGCCGCTAAGACCCACGTTGGGACCCGCTTCAGTTAGAGCCGTACCACGAGCTTGTAGCAGGACCTCGCCCCCGACTTTGTGACCAACGTCCGTATGTGGGCGGCCGCCAGGGGCCCAAGGTGACGACGGGCTCAGTCTAAGCAAGGCGGGCCAGAGGTAGACTAAGGGGCTCCGGTAGCGGCAGCGGGCGGAGCAAAAGTGTAAGTGGGCGTGGAGTTGCCCACGAAATGTGTTCGGACCCAAGGCAAAGGGCAGATAGACAGCGGACCGGCGGGGGCGGTGAGAATGTCGGGCAGGTCACTACACCGGATACTGTCGGACCAGTGGTAGTAGCGACGAGCGGAGCGGGGCGACCTGAAGGTCGGGCGCAGGAGCGGATGGAGGGCAGAGCGGAGCGTTGCGGGTGAAGCGGAGCAACGAGCAGCAACGGAGGGGAGCCGGAGGGGGAACCAGCAGACAGAATGAATCAGGGCGCATTTCAGTGCCGGGTTCATTCGAAGAAGATAGTTATGAGGGGACGGAGCAAGTAGACTTGGAGAGCATAAAGCCCGCCCAATTCTTGATGAAATCGGGCGGGGAAATGATGGGATTCCAAAATTTTTGTACCGGGCGACTCCGTTTCTCACGTCAGAACTAGTAAGGAGTTAGTAGAGTGAGAACTATTAGAGAAAGATGGTGCGTCGGGGCTATGGCGGAGTGAAGGAGATAGAAAAGATAAAGAAAAACCGAGAGTGTTAGTCAATTTCTAGTGAAAACGGTCGGGAAAGGGATTAAAGTAGGGGGTTTAGGCTGGGGCGAGCATGACCGTGGAGTTAGATTAGAGAGAGAGTTAGTAAATTAAGTGATAGAGTAGAAAGCTTGTGCGCGGACGTATTGAGAAGCGGATATGGAGGGAACGGGCAACATGAACCCCCCCCCGATTTTCTTGATGAAATCGGATGAGGGAAAGTGTGTTTCGGGGGTTTCTGGATATTGCGATTGCGACGGCGGTGGCAGTTCTGATAGTAATGCGTTAGTTTGGTGATTAGGGAGGAAAGAGGCTGCGCCCGGATAGAGGGAGGTTTCAATTTTGGGATTTGGGGGTTGTGAACCCGATCGTATAGGTAGTTTGGTCGAAGGGTTAGTAGATAGACTTTTAGTAAAAAGGTAGGCTGCGTGAAGCTTTCGGGAAAGGGGGACATCGCCGAGCGGGGGACGTCGAAGCCAGGAGGTACCTTTCCGCTTCTAGGCGGAAGATTCACTCTCGTTCTGCGTAGTTGCTGAGGGGCAGGGTACGACCGGTTTGCAGTGTCGTGTGTGGTTACGGTCGCAGGTCTCAGTGGGGTTGCGGTGCTTATCTCTAACCAGCCTTTGCGTTGCCAACGTGACGGTCCAAATCAGTTCAAGTCCATCAGAACTCGAACTTAGATCTGCATTTCTGAAGCCACGTGGGTGACGTGACCGCTAGTTAAACCCAATGACTTTTAAATGTGCAGGGCCAAAACCCTGTCAGCGCGACTGTTTCAGCCATGCGATTCTCGCAGATCGCACAGTCGAAATCAACTACGTCGGATTACTCCTGGGGCATTCACTTTTAAAAGTCGTTGGGTTTAACCAATGGTCACATCATCCACGTGGCTTCATAAATGCAGATCTAAGTTCGAGTTTTTATGGACTCAAACTGATTTGGACCGTTCCTCGATTTATGTGTGTCATCCTTGCGCAGGGGTCATGTTGATCCGTGCGGCCGATCTCGGTCGTGCGATCCTCGTGATCGACGGTTGAAATCGACCGCGCCGATAGCAAGTAAGGCACAGTATCTCAGATTCGATCCCGGTGTCTACCGGGTGAAAGTCATGGGTTGTAACCTACTCGGCTAACTCGTATGACGGGAGTTAGACCTGCACCTCTTTTATATGTAGAGGTGCAGCCCCAGTAGGCCCCCCCCACATTCAACAGGTCTAGCATGCCTGTGGCCTTGCAGGCCCTGCCTGTTGAGTGTGGGTCATACTAATCTTGGTGCAATAGTTGACTTACATATGGAAAAAAAAATGTTGTAGACATAAACAATATAAATAATTTTTGGCTTGATGTCATATTTCATATCATAACAAAAATGA